AAGACGGCGCGCAGGCAGAATGAAGGGCGGGGCGCGCGAGGGCGCACTAGCAGAAGAAGGCGCACGAGGGCGCACGAGCAGAGAAAGGCGCACGAGGGCGCACGTAAGGTAGGGCGCACGAGGGCGCTTCTAGCGGAATAGTGGGCACGTAGTAGTAAGCGGTCCTAGGTGGCAACCTAGACTCGTGATACCATGTCAGAATCAACAAGAGTGATTGAACTAGGAAAGAGTTGGGTACAAGTAGGAAACCCTAAACTTACTGTACCCCATAGTAACTACCCCACTACAGCCTAAACAAACTGCTGCAGATATGACATTTGACAGAAGATGGCACACTTCGCTGCGTGCAAGAAATTGATCCCAGACGAAGAAACCGCTCGCCTGATCATCGCAACCGTCGTTCGACTGCACGGGATACCAGCCGCGATAATCAGCGACCGCGATACGAAGTTCACCAGCAATTTCTGGAAGAACCTCTGGGAGCAGTTCGGGACCAGGCTACAGTTCACCTCATCGTACCACCCCGAAACCGACGGTCAAACGGAGCGGACAAATCGGACGATGGAGCAGTTGATTCGTGCCACGTGCGACGACCCGACAACTTGGGAGCAGCAGCTGCCGCTGATCGAGTTCGCGTACAACAACGCCATGTCAGGGACGACGCAGAAGTCTCCATTCTACCTGAACTACGGGCAAAACCCTACAGTGCCCATGACGCCGAGTCCGGACAACCCAACGCCACGCGCACAACAATTAGCCGAAATCCTGCAAGCTCTCTGCACCAGAGTCGCTGAAGCAATTAAAAAGGCAAATATCATCGCTAAGCACAACGCTGACCGCCACCGCCGCCCAGTCACGTACCAGCCAGGCGATCACGTACTGCTCAACACAGAGAACTTAAGACTGCCCGTCGTACCGAAATTACGACCGCGTTACTGTGGACCATTCCAAATCAGCCACATGATTACCCTAGTGACAACACATTTACTATTGCCGACGGACTGGTATATCAGCCCCTCATTCCACGTCAGCCTGCTTCGCCCATACATCCCTTCCACAAGCCAACTGCCTCGTCACCGCCCACCATCCATGACTCGCCCTGCATCAGAGCCGATCATCGAGCCCGAAAAAATCATGAGCCATCGGATTCGACACCCCACGGGAATCAGGAGGACTGAATTCCTTGTTCGCTGAAAGGACCGCACGCCAACTGAGGATAGCTGTGTGCCCCTGGCCAACATCAAAAACCACCCTGCCCTGCAGGTGTACCTGAGGAGCCGGGGTTTTCGCGATATACACGCACTCGCGTTGCGGAGGGGGCTTCTTGAGGGGGGGAGTAGTGTAAGGAATTTTCTCGACATTCCTTAGCGCGCCCTGCAACATCGCGTACAGCAGCAGCTGTTGTTCGCCCGTTACTGCTAACGGGGCTTCGCCGACTTCGCGCGTTCTGTCTCACCAAACCTCGCACTGCTGACCTAGCCGTGTCGGCCTACGCTTCGGGACTAGCCCGAACCTCGCTGCCAACGCAGCACTAGCTAGCTCGCATGCACCGCGTTACCGTTTGCATGTTTCGCGTATAAATGTTCGCTCATGCCTTCGCTCACATTTTGTACTCGCTTGACACCTTAGTGCAATCCTCGCTACCTCGGTTCATTGCACCCGTAACATGTCAATGGAATGCATTATACCGTATCACCCCGGATATAAGCGCCATGGCGCTTATAATAAAATCGATTTTTTTAAGGGTGGCGCTTGTAATTGAATAATGGCCATAAGCGCCGGCGCTTATATAATGGTAAAAATAAATTTGCATAATTTAGGCATCAAATCGAAGCCCGTATTAAGGCGAACAAGACTGTGTAACGTGCGCATGGAAACACGCCGAAAACAGACGCGCTTCGGTTTCCAACCGCACAAAGCCCGTCCAGGAGCAGTTCACCTGCCAGCGCTGATGCGAAACTTGCCTAGCGGCCCAATCAGGCTTTCGTGTGCTGGGTGGCAGCAGAATCCTCATCCGAACCATCTAGAAGCGGCCATCATGCCCTGCCAGCGCAGCATCGTGCGTGGCGCTAAACCCTCCTCTCCGGGTTCAGACAGGGGACACCCGTCTCTCCTCGACGAGGACCCCGTGGCGCTAGCCAGAAGGGGTCCCTTTGAATCCTTCATTTGTTCATTGCTTCTTTCAGTTTTTCGTTCTTGGTTCTTGATGTCTCCCGCCATGCTGCGGAAGCTATGGCCGAATTCACCGGGGTTCACTTCTTGTTCAAGAAGAAGCCTCCACGGAGGCCCGCGTTTAGAGTAGACGAAGATGGGTGGTACTCCCGCGTCCCACCATCTCCACCTAAGCCACCACAGCCTCCTGCGCCTCCTGCGCCTCCTGCTCCTCCTTCGCCTCCTGCACCTCCTGAGCCTCCTGTTCCTCCGACTCCTCCGTGCTCGCATAGTGCTGCGCCTCCGCTACACGCTGGATCAACGCCCGTGCTGACGCTGCTGCTCCCATCGTCGTTTGACGAGTACCTCTCCGAACCCGAGTCTAAGAAGCCGCAAGATGAGTGGGTGGAAGTGGAGCACGTTCCTGGTTCACGGTGGGGACAGCCTGACGACTGCCCGTGGGACGAATCGCAAGTCGGCGCCGACGATGATGTTGAAGCCGAAGCTGACGCTGACGAAGAGGAAGCGAGCGGCACTGTCGGCGGCGAGTATGGCACGGAAGCGAGCGGCGGGGGCGGCGCCGAGGGCGGCTCCGCTGAAGATGTTTTTCTCGAAGGCGTTCCCGGCGACGATGCCGATGACGGCGTGGAGTACTGGTCACGCGACGAGCTTCCCGAGACCCTGCCGATACCTTCCTATCCCCCGATGAATCGCAAGCGACCCCACCCCTCTTCCCAGAACCGTGATGCCCGCCCCCCCTCTCCCAGGCACAAGCTCACTGAGCACAAGAGGCAAGGTTACACCGCCGCGGAGAAGTTGAAGTGGGTTGCCAGGCTTGCTGTGGCAACGTCGGTGCGCGCTTTGGCTCGCGAGAGCGGAATCCACCCCAAGTGCCTCACGAACTGGAAGCGGGCGGCGGAGTTCCTCAAAGACGTGCACTCCGCTCGGAAACGCATGCACGGCCGCGGTCGGGCGTCGTGGTATCGGCCTATGGAGTTGAAAGTGTACGAGAAGCTTCTCGAGTGGCGCCGCAAGGGAACCGCCGTATCAGTCGGCCGCCTGCAGGAGTGGTCGCGGGAATACATGAAGCTGCTGTACCCGGACAAGCCCTGGAAAGGGAGCCAGAGGTGGTCGGAGCGCTTTCGGCGACGATGGAACCTGAGTGTCCGCATGAAGACCCGGGTTGCCCAGAAAACCCAGTCGCGTAAGAGTTACCCCATGTACTTTGCCGTGTTAATGTTTACTTGTTTTACCGGTACTAACACCCGCCATCTGTGACCGTCCTGCCTTCCACCTCCCTTCAGATGTCGCGGAGCAGTGCAGAAGCTTCTGGAAGTTCGTGCATGGCATGCGTCGTGAGCGCGGCATCGACACCGCGTGGATCATCAACGCGGACCAGACGCCGCTCTGGCTGGAGATGCCCGCCACCACCACCGTGGATGAATCGGGTGTTCGCTCGGTGCCTATCAGGAGCGTGGGGTATCAGAAGCAGCGTGTGATGGTGATGTTGGCGTGTACGGCGGACGGACGGAAGCTGAAGCCGTGGGTGTACTTCAAGCGCAAGACCGTGCCAAAGGGCAATTTCCCACCCGATACGTCAATTGGTGCACTGCTCGTTAACTGCGGTTTGTTCAGACTGCGATTTCTAACTGCTTCTCTTGTTTCCTGCAGATGTGGTCGTGGCTGCACACGAGAACGGGTGGATGGACTCCGCGGGTGTCGTCCGCTGGCTTGAGGAGGGCGTCAAGCCCTTCTTGAAGCCCAGGTTCGGTAGATGCGCCAAGAGCTCGATGCTGGTGCTCGACTCTTACCGCGGTCACCTCACCCAGGAAGTGAAGGACAAGCTTCGCGAGATGAACTGCGTGCCGGCAATCATCCCGTCGGGCTGTACGACGGAGGTTCAGCCCCTGGATGTCTCCATCAACAAGAGCTTCAAAGCGTCGGTCCGCCAGCAGTACCAGCGGTGGTTTGAGGCAGAAGGGCAAGAGCAGCTGACGACAGCAGGTATGGAATGAGCGCGTTGTTGTGTTTCAACCCCCCTTCCTTTTGCTTACCGTATGTATTGTTGGATTAACGGGATTCCATTGTTCTCCCGTTATTTTCAAGGAACTTGAAGAAGCCTCCTCCGGAGGTCGTCCTGAGGTGGATATCTCAGGCCTGGAAGTCAGTGCCTGCCGAGCTGATAAAGCGTGCCTTCCTCACCTGTGGCATCAGCAACGCGCTCGACGGCAGTGAGGACGGCCTCGCCATGGCGCACAGGCGGAGCCAGCTGACGGCGGAAGTGGACGTCGACGATGACATCATCGCTGATGGGTTTTTTGGCAACAACTGCCAGGAGCCCGAATCTGACGAAGACTAGACTAGTTAGCTAGAATTAGTGTTGCTAGACCTGCTGTTTCAGGTCTCTGATGTTGTAGCTGCTGTCATGATATTGTTATGAATGTGATTTCAATGTAAAACCAGCTAAGTAGCCGAATGGTGGCGCTTATAATAAGTACACAAATCTCAGGGGGGGCGCTTCTAATCGAGGTCCGGCCATAAGCGCCATGCTCCAGATAGAGGCGCTAGCGCCTATAATCGGACGGCGCCTATATCCGGGGCGATACGGTATGTGCAAACACAGTCACCCTATCTTCCAACTAATATCCTCCATGATAGCCTGGGAAACTTAACCCCAAAATCTAGTGGCTCCATTCACAATGGCTGAAATATTGTACAAAGCATGCCAGCTGAGCAAGCTAGCTAAGTTAGCCAGACCTGATCGCAGCACATGCCCCTCCCCTCACCTTTGAACTAATCCATCATTCCGCTCTAACTCTAAGACTTATGTTAGGAGCCGGCAGATCATGTCACTGCTGATTTTGCTCAGAATCAACCATCCTCCAGACGACACGCCGCAACAGCAACCGTAGCGACCAAAACCCAAACAGAAATGTCTGCACGAACCACTCTGCTGCATTCTGCCTTTCACTCCACGGCCCCACTTTGCCATCCTCCCCATCGTCCCACTCCAACCCGTCCACCTCAGCTCCCCTTGCCCCCGAACCTCCTGAATTCCGAGCCACCATCCAGGCAATGCTCGCCTCGGTTAAATGAATGGCAAGCGCCGTCCACCACACCGTCTGCAGCATACTCCGGGACATGAAGAGAAAAACACCCAGGTCTTGCACCCAGCACACGGGCGGCGGGAGAGACGGCCGGGGGTAAAAGGCCGACAGGTAGAGCAAAGCGAGACCCAGAGGGACTAGCACCCAGACTATGAGCGGAGGCATGGGGACTTCTCTTTGCGCTGTGCGCCTCCAATACGCCCTCGTGGCATCCATGGCATGGCGGGGGTCCACTATGGGTTGGTAACCAAGGTCTGTTTTCGCCTTATCTGTTGAGAACACGTGGTGCACTGCCAGCTGAAGGGGAGTCAATAAGGTGGTGGGCGGGCAGTGGGGAACGATGGATGATGGTATTTGCAGAGGATGAGTGCGATGAGAAATATGTGTGTCATGGGATGGGGACAAGTTCTGAACCACCAGGAGTAATAGAATTTCCACCAGGGAAACAGAAACTGCAGAATTTTCCAAGAATGCAACCTGAGGGACCAAGAAAGTAGGAGGATGGAAGCAAAGGAGTGCCATTGAAACCGACCACAGGCACGAACCTGATGAACTTCGGCTGGTAGAAGAATCAGCGGTTGTGGTAACCAGTTAGCGCGTAACAGCGGGCAGAGAAGGCGGTAAATAGCCTCAGTGAACCAGCCAAGCGACAGGGCTGAGGTCAGTGAGAGGTGGATGTATGGCTGGGTTCCCCCGAATGCCGCTATAAGTGGCTTGAGAAAGTCAAAGGCGTTCACTGGGGCATCTGCGAGGTAGACGTGGAGGAAGGGGGAATGAGAGGGCTGAGGGTGACTAGGAAGTGACTTGGCGTGACTGGGAATGACTGGGAGTGACTGGGAGGAGCCGTGATATCGGTTGAATCTGACCTTTGAATGACAAGGCTAGTCGTACGAACCACAAAGGTGAGTAGCACAGATGTCAGAGGCGAAAAAAAAAAAAAAATTAAAAAAAAAAAAAAAAAAAAAAAAAAAAATCGAGCAGCACACATGGCATCGCATGTCTGACACTCAAAACCAAGGATCCAAAATGCATGTACTGCTCAGAACCATACCATCAGTTATGAAGTAAGCCTGCCCGGCAGACTTGCAGCTTCCATCCTCACAACTCCTATCCTTCTCGCCCTTTCCCGTCCCATTTACATCCCCAACCCCACCACTGCCAACCCCTCTGCAAGCACCGCTGCTGGATCCGTCCGGAATAAGGCCAACGAATGCCAGACACTGCGCATGAACCAGGTTATCCACGAACAGCCAATCAGAACGCGCCAGCTGGTCTCCAATTCTGAACCGCAGGAAACCGGTCCGAACCAGACCCATGACGCGACGGAGCAAGGAAGGCTCGCCCGGACCAAAGAGCTTGGCAGGCCTGAGCACACACGTGCGCAGCCGGCCCTTTCCAAGAAGCTTCCTCATGTTGGATTTGAGAACGATTTGTTCTGCGAGGCCCACGGCCCGTCCATAGCTGTCTGCGTGCTGCTCCATGGGGTAATAGCCGCAGCTCGCCTCGTCTACCCCTCCCCCCCCATCACCCTCCCTTCCTCCTCCCTTGCCTCCTCTCTTTCCTCCCCCCATCCCATCTCTTCTCTCGCTTCCTCTTCTGCCTTCGCTGCTCCCCCCCATGTACCCCATGGCTTGCCCTCCGAAAACCGCTCGGGTGGACCCAGTGTAAATCAGGCTCTTGACGCCTTGGTTTAAGCAGCAATGTACCAGATTAAGTGTACCGTCCACGTTAATCGAGGTAATGAGTGACTCCATAAGGGAGTCTTTGCCCCACGCGCCGAAGGATGCAATGTGGAAGACACAGTCGGCTCCTGAAAGAGCGGAGTTGAGATCGTTAGGGTTTCGAATGTCCCCTGAGATTACCCTGAGGCGGGAACGGCCGGTGGGTTGCTGGGCGGTGGCTTGAGCAAGGAGGTGGAGGGGGAAGGGAGAGGAGGCTAGAGGGTTGTTTTTGGAAAGGGTGGAGGTGGGGTCTGGGGAGGATGAGGGAGGAGAGGAGGGAGAGGAAGAGGAGGGGTTGGGTGGTTCGGATGGTGGTGTTTGGGGTGGTTTGAGCGGAGGTGGCTGTGAGGAGCGAGGGAAGTCGAAGCAGCGAACTTCGCGAGCCTCCCTGAAAGATTGACGGGAAGGTGGACGAAATTGAAATGCGCTGGATTCGTCAGGAGCGCACATTCGGAGTGAGATACAGTAATAAGTGTACACTGTAAGTAGAAGCGAAAGCCGATGAGGCTAGTCGGTTGGTTGGGATGAGGGCAGGTAAGCAGGATCGTACCTTCTTAATAGCTCGAGGCACAGCCTGACGCCCGCATAGCTCGCACCTCCCGTCACCACAAACACCTTATCTTCGAAACTTCCGACGTCCGATATAAACACCATTGCGCCAGCTATATGCGCAACTTGAGACTCCTATTTCTACTCACCACCTACGTACCGCCAGTCACTAGGTGTTCGATATCATCAAGGTCACAACGAGGAAGCTGATCATCAAGGTACGAAAAGAGAGCTCGTGCTTGCGTGGTCACGACTCGTGCCTTGGCGGTCATGAATTCGAGGAATACATGCGAGGAGCAGTGTATTGTAGAAGCCAAACCCGAAGATTTCAAGGTTATTTCAGTGTGTAGCTAGATTTGTTTGGTATATGAAATGGCATCTCCTACCGAGTTCGATAACAGAGGGAATCCAATTTTCTTTCTCATCTCCCAGAACCATTCTTCGCGCAGAAATATCCTACCAAACCGTACTGAACAGCACCTCCTGGAACTCCTGAATCTGACCCGATCATCTGCAGTTGTCCATGGTTCTCATTTCACAGCAGACCTGTGAGTCTTCCATACCCGCCCTGCATGCTCTCATGCTCACCTGGACAGCCCCGCGCTCCATGCACCCAGAACGCGGAGCGCGTACCGCCATTCTGGAAGCAGCAATGCTGCGAATTGCTTGCTCCCTCTCTGGGTCTCTCCGAAACCCTCGTGTCAAGCCGAAATGTCGGCCTATCCACCAAGATGCTCTTCCTCGTCTTGAAGCAGAGAGGCTTTGTTTAATCTCTCGCCGAGTCGAGAGCAACTGCAGTGGGGACTTACCCATCAGCTTCCTCCCATCATTCAAAGAGGTGTAGCGATCAAGCCTTGCAGGCGCCAATAGCATGGCTCGAGCTTCGTGAGCTGCATACAGCGAAGTTCTGCGAATTTTGTGCGTCTTAAGTGCGATTCCCGTGCGACGTCCGTGCGAATTTTACCCCTCAACATCAACAATCAATCCACGACGATTATTAGTTCCCAAAATTGTTCAACTATTTTATCGCATGGCGGAGCAGCAAGCGATTGTGGAGGAGCAGTACACGCGGCCTCAGGGACTGTACCACCACCGAGACGTGAACCTGGAGGAACTCCGGCGTCTGATTCTCGACGCGAAGTTAGCTCCGTGCCACGTGGGGAGTGATGAGCTTAGCCACGATCTCGACGAATGTCCCATTTGCTTTCTGGTATGCAGCGATCACTCTCAAACGGATGCCCTGTCAGCCTGATATTAACCTTATCTGTCATTAAATTTCTGCTAAATTGTCTTGGTGCCTTGGTTTGGGTCCGTTGCTCTCGTCAGCGTGTATTTATGTTTATTCATAGTTGCGTTTTCCCTCTCTGTCTTCTTCAAACGTAACGTTCTGACCCGTGCTTTCAGGGCTATCCTAGTCTGAACTGGATGAAGTGTTGCAAGAAGGGGATGTGCACAGGTAGGCAATGTGTGATAATATGTCAAGAAGGCTTGGAATTACTGGCTACCTTCTTACCCTTCCTTCTCCCTTGTTTTCTGTTTTCCAGAATGCTTCCTTGTAGTGAAGGGTCCTGCTACTCACAGCATTGAATGGTGAGTCCTTTTTTGTGTTCCACCCCTCCAACAGCATGGACTGCTTCGTTCTGTCCTAATGTTCATTTTTTATCGTACCTCTCAATCTCTCCCAGTTGTCCCTTCTGTGTGACTACTGGAGCGTCTGTGGAGTACCGGGGCAGGCGCACTACTGAGGAGATTTTGATGGACATGGAGGTAGGTAGGCTGTGGCTGTGGCTGTGGCTGTGGCTTTGGCTGTGGCTGTGGCAATGCCTATGGCTGTTGTGGCTATAAGTATCCAGCTCATTAAGTTCCAGTAAAGAAGTTGCTTGCCCTGGCCATAATCTATTTGGTCCATCTATTGGAGTCCACTGTGTAAAGCTGTTTTTTGTCAATTTTCACCACCCCCTCCTGCCCTTACACCTATCCCCCACTGTGGCCGTTATGCAATTTGTCATCTGCTTACCTCCAACTCTCTTGTCTTTTGCCCACTTACCTGGGTACCTAACAGGAAGATCAGAAGGCGATTGAGGCAGAGATTAAGGCAAAAAGAGGAAAGAAGGATGCATGTGCTGCTGCTCTTCCTGTTACGCCTGCGCGATCCACAGCCGAAGCAGAAGCCGAAATGCATGACCACACGTCCTCCTCTGCTGTAGACCTGTCCAACGAAGAGGAGCAGAGGGCAATTGAAGAGGAGATCAGAAGGATCCAGGAACAGGAGGCATACGCTGCTAGCCTGGTTGATATGGACGAGCAGAGGATGATAGAAGCAGAGATTCAGCTGCGCCGGGAAGAGGAGGCGTATTATGCGCTTCTAGCTGGCCAGGTAGCAGCACTGGACGACCCTGATAGTGCGGCTCCTGCAGCAGAAGCACCCAATCTCTCAGACAACCCATTTGACAATCCTCCTGGTTCCAGTGCCGCAGATGCTGCTGCTGCTGCCGGTGCTTCGTCTGAAGCAGACGATGCTGAAGATTCTGACGAGGAAGTTACTGATGAGGATCAGGTGGAGGCTCCATCATCGTCCACGCCTGCAGTGGGGAATGGCAACTCTGTACCATCAGGCTCAAAGGACTCTGCAACATCGGCAGCACCAGCAGCTGCAACTGTGGTTGCGTAGTTGTGGAAGCATTATTGCTACTGTAGTATGCTTTGTTCAGGGTGGATATAGTACCGTGGGGCCATTACTCCTATTAGGTAGCCTTGTTGTTGGGGGGCTTTTTCAATATAGACGACTTCAGGTGACAATAGATAGACAGCAGGTGCTCACATCTTTGTAAAAAATAACAGTAATAGATAAAGAAAAGGGTCACAGGTAGAGCCGAGGCAGCTCCACTGATGTATATGGTAGTACTCTACAGTATATCATGTAGGTTCAGAGCCATTCATTCTGTCAAGTCAAGCAAGGCTCGAGTGAAACCTCGCCCATACCGGTATTAGTTTCTCCACCTCCTATCCACATCCCCACCAACCACCCCTCCAACAGGCCTCTGACCTACCTTCCCTACTCCAATTGCCCTCACGCCCCGCCCAGGAGTGACAGCCCTCACGGGAGTGGTGGGCCTGGCAGGGGCCCTATCCACTCCATGCAACCCCACACCCTTCCCAGCCGCCCTCTCACTGCTACTGGACCTTGCACCTCCTCTCTGTGGGGTCGCTGCCCTTCCCATCCTCTCAGCACTAACATACCCGATCAGTGTCCTCCCAAAGACATTGCTAGGCACCTCACTTCCAGCCGCACAGGCCCTCCCTCCAATGCTCCACCTTTGCCTCTCCCTCTCCTGTTCCTCCCGGGCCGCTTTCCTCTGCAGCTCCCGCACTCGCCTCCTCTCCACCCGTTCCCTCTCCACCTCGCTGTACTCCTTACAAGCAGTCTCAACAAGAGCGTCTAGAATCATCTCCTCCACATCAAACGCCACTGTAGCAGCCTCAGAGTCTCGTATCTCTTCCTGCGACCACCGATCCACGCCTTTCTGCATATCCCTCCTCGCTGCGTCATCAAGCACATCATACACGTCGGGTGACGGTGGAATCGGCCAATCATGAATCTCCACCCAGATTCTCTTCAGAAGATCTTTCCCCACTGGACGCGGGTTCAGCTTCCGGAGCGAGACTGGCCGAGCGGCAGAGGAAGGACACGTGTCAAGGTCCCATTGCAGCGGGTTGAGGAACGGAGCAAGTGTGCGGCCGATGGCCTCATTGATAGCATCGAACAGCAGCATGCGCTGCCGGCGCTCCTCCGAGCCCTTCGTGCTCCTCGTGTCGCTGCTGCTGCTGCCACCGTTGCTGCCTTGACTGCCGGCCTCACTGTCTTGACAGCTGCTGTTGCTGCTAATTTCTCCTGTTATCTCCTTCTCAAGCTGTTCGAACACCTCTCGACGCACGGGGAGCCTGAGGGATGGGATGTCGCGGCGGGGAGGGAGGGATTCACCTGCAAACCCGGACAGCAGCAACACGTGGCGAACGTACTCCAGGTCCTGCTCGATCCCCGCCACGTCAGCGAGCCCCACGTTTGCTGCCACGTCAGCTAGAACAGATTGCGTGCTGGATAGGTCCAGAAGAGCCAGAGATTCCACAGGGCACGGCGAGCGAGGAGGAGAAGGAGAGGGAGGAGAGAGAGAAGAGGAATGGAGAGGCGGAGATAAAGAGGAAAGAGGGAGAGGGAGGGAGGAAAGAGCAGGAGGAGAAAGCATATTTCTAGCTTCAGTTAATGGGGAGAAGGGAGAGAGGATGGTAGGGGAGGGGACAGAGGAGAGAGAGGAGAGAGAGGAGAGGGAGGAGGAAGCGGAGGAGGAACGGGAAGGGGATGAAGACGGATTTGCTGCAGTTTTACTGCTGCCAGTGAACAACAAGTCCTGGAGCACCAACGATGGGTCCAGCTCTCCGCTGCTTCCGCTGCTTGTCGTTGTCACTGCATCCGAGTCATATTCCTCGCCTCGTTTTTTTAAGCTCGTCACCTGCTGCCTGAGGTCCAGCACAGAAACGGGGCTCGCAGCAAGCTTATAACGGAGATGCTTCACGCGCGAGAGACTGTCCGCGTCGTCCGACTCCCACTCGCCATTCCCCGACGACGCCTCGTTCACGGAACCACAGTCGTTGACGGAGCTTGAATCGTCAGACTCCGTTTCCTCCGGCAGCTCGACCGTCATCTGACGAAGCTCCGTCAGTTGCGCCGTCAGCTCCGCCGTTTTCTCCATTCGCCGGGAAACGAGCGGCTCTTGTCTTCCGACCGCCATGAGCGTGATTCGCGGTGAGCCTGACCAATCCGACCGCTCGTCCGAACGCCTCTGCTGCTCTTCCAGGACCCTTCGCTGCTGCTGCTGCTGCCGCCGCTCCTGCCGCTGCCGCTGCTGTTCCTGCACCTGCCGCCGCAAGCGCATCGCTAGGCTCTCCGCCGAATCTGCGCTCTCGGGGGCGCCGCCGGGCTGAGAGTTGCGCCGGGTAGACGGCGCGCTCCGCTCGCCCCAACCAAGGGAAGCGGGGGAGCTGAGAGGCGGTTGGGTTCTGCTTCCCAGGCGGTTGGGGGAGCCGGGGGGGCTGAGCCGCCGAGGGGAACTGGGGGAGCTGAGACGGCGGGGGGACGCGGGAGGGCTGTTTGGCGGAGACAGATATTGCGGACCGTGCGAGAATGGGGAGACGGAACCTCGGCGTCGCACGGGCGACGACGACGACGCATTCGGCGACGCGGGCATCCGCTCCAGCCCTTTCGCCTCCGACGGGTCGTTCGCGCGCGACTTTGCAAGTGACGAGAGCGTGGGGGTGTAGAGTCGACTGGACGGGGAACGGTTTGTGTGCCGTGGGGGTGCGCACGTTTGTGACGTTGGCGGGGCCATGGCGCTGATTCGTTCGGATGCCACGGCAACTGTTGAGAGTTTGTGTTGGTTTGAAGTGTCGAGTGAAAGGGCGGACGTGAGATGCTGAGGAGAGGAACGTGGACGTGACCTAGTGACGGATTGGCTCGAATGTTGGAAGGCGAGTATCCGTCGTCTCGCTTTGAAGATGGGACGCCAAATGCGATCACTCGAGCTCACTCAGGCTCTTACGAAAGGCAAGAATCTACAATAAGAGTGGGATTCAGGACTTGTACGAAGGTCTTTGGAGGCTCTATATACGAATGGGGATCCAAGGGCGCACAGGTGTGGGGACTCTCCTTTAGCTGTTCGACCGCGCTTCGGGTGTTCTGGCGGCGGTCCTTACTAGGGCTGACGGCGAGCTGTGAGCTGCAGACGACCGGCTGAAGCAGCCTAACGCACAGCCGTTACGACTTGGCTCAGACGGCAAGTGTATGGAGGTGAATGTTGTGTGGATTGAAAATATTTACGGATAAGGTACGTTCAGCAGACTACTGGACAGAAAATGCAGGCGAGCTGAAATTCAATCGACGACGATGACGACGCGAGACTTCTCGTGATAAGGCTGAGTGCTTCGGTGCGTCGAGCGTGTGGCTGAGAAAATATCTAAGGCCCGGAATCTCGGAAAAGTGCAGTAGCTGTAACCACGCGAAAAGCGCAGCGGGCCTCACGTGCAAAAACGGTCAATTCCAATGAATTCGCGACTCGCCTGAATCACGTGTCCAAGGAACCTCACGGGTATTACGGCCGGTTCTGGTGTGTACGGAACCCTTCGTCTCGAATGCGGCTGCAAGGAATCTCACGGGTACTACTACGGCTGACGGACTTTGATGAACTCGCAACGCGTGCTTTGCTCAACCGTAGCATAATCAGCTGCGAGGAAATCTGTTGGCACTACCGTCACCAAGGTGGAATCGAGAAACGGTCAAATCGCCTTCCATAGCGAGAATAAACAGCCGAGGGGAAGGGAAAAAAACGAACTAACGAGACGGGCTATCGAGCAAGGAGAAGTTGACGGCGGTGTTTGCGGTAAGCTCGTGAGCTCGTTTGCAAACGGATGGTTCACGGAAATTGTCGATACTGACAAGGCATGCGTTGAATCTGAGTTGAATTCGATAAACGTTGAGATAAAAAGGGCAGTAACAGTAGCAAAGCTCCAGCCGAATTACGATGATGCGTTATCTATGGACGGCGAAACGGGATATAAAGTGGAGGGTGCGGCGGGAGAGCAGAGCAGCGCCAACTGACGCCCAGCTTTGGAACGAGGATGGAGGTTGCTTTCTTTCAGTGAGCGAGGCGAAACGGCAAGCATGGAGAGAAGAAGCATTCAAGCTGGATCGCTTTCATGAGAAATCAGAGAAAGGCACACCCTTGACCTTTCACACCCCTTCCTCCCCTCCTCCCCTCCTCCCTCCTGCTCCTCTCCCCTCCCTCCCTCATCTCCTTTGCCGAGTGGACTGACATCAATGTCGGCCGAGGCGCGCAAAAAATGCCTCCCTTGGCAGGCTTGACGAACCGCCTAGACCACACGACGGGACCGCGACACTGGAATGCTACTGCCGCGGTCTGGATGTGGTGGGCAGGAGTGAACAACATTCATCCAACAGCTCGAATTCGGGGAAGAGGCACGGCAACCTCCGCCTTCAGAGGAGGTTGGCCTTAGGGGCGTACGAGAGGTTTGGCTCGGTTCGGGAAAGGGGATCAGGTATGGGGAAAAAATAGAACGGGTTACGAGGGGTTGTTGGGGGTTTGGAGGGGAAAGTTGATGGGGTCATAGTCAGAAGAGTGCAGCAATCATGAAAGGAAAGGAGGCGTGATGCGCGCCAACGAATGATTGTTGTGGTAATATTCTCGCAGTTCCGTCATTGCTCGTTTACGGTGAACACTAAGCGGAAATAGACCTACACATTACATTTAAGTAACATTACATACGCACATAACATACATATCGACTATCATCAGTTGTATATACGATTTTTGCTAGTTTGTGTTCCAAAATCATGTGGCATAATCTAATATACATAGATCCGACATGTATAACATGTTAGATAAGAATTAGTGACATAGAACGTGGCATAAGTGTTGCGTTCTCTGTCTAATACCAGGATTATTCTGTTTCCTTTGTACAGAATCACTCTGTACTTCCACCACACCGTTTCATGCTTCCTCGCATACGAGCGACGAGTTACCAGAGTCACAGATGCAGACCAGTGGCTCGCGGAGGTCGGTGGGAATGTCGCGAAGGCGCGAGAAATTCGTCGAGCACAGATGGACGGCTGGATGATGGAGTGATGGTGTGACAATCCCACTGCTGCTCACTCAATCTTGCTGGAAGCCTGCTTCCTCGCTCGCCCCATCATCATGTGTCTACTTCTCAGCAGGTGTGACAGCTTCTGTAGTCGGTGGATTCTACTTCACGTTTGCGTACCAAAGAAGCTATTCAGGGTCCCAGTAGTGTCATGACAAAGATGTTTTAGCGGGAATTCCAGTCTACGATAAGATAGCTTCACACGATGCATCCGAAGGTTGCACGCTGTGCCGTACATCTGTGTAGGTTGTAGGTAATGCGTTTCATAACAGTTTTGTTTTCACAACTAAACAACAACCTAAGTTTTTCTTGATATGATGGTAGACCGTCGACAACGAGAAGTGGGCTGTGTCGAACGATTTCTCGTCGCAGAAGGGTCGCCTTCGGACGTCGTTATTCCAGATCCCTACACTGAGTTGTCATGCGAATCGGCGACTGTGCGCGAGTCCTGCGAATTGGCGACTCTCTGCGAGCCGTCTAGAGCATGCGACAGCACGATAGCACGCAGCGCCTGCCGCCATCACGAAGCCGCAACTCTTCTTACCCGCGAAAATCTTGCCACGTCAGCATCTACCCGGGAGCCTACTGTGTCGTCAACAGTCTCGCGAACGCCTTCGAATCTTGAGACATCGTCGTGTTTAGAGGAACGCGCGAGGGAGAAATTATCCCAGATCGAGGCTATGGATTCACAGGCTGTCACGGTGAATGAACGGTCCAAATCACGCCTGCATGCACACCGATGCATCTGGGTGGCGGCCGCCGTCGGATTACTCATGCTGGTTGGAGGTCTCGTGGCCGTGTTAGGCCCTTTAATCTTCTCCCACGTCATCATACCTATGCTAGAATGGGAGCAGAAGAATCTAAGCCCCCCAGTCCTTGGCGTCGCAGCTGTTGCCAGTATGGGTCTCTTCCCTGTAGTTCTCTTCCCCACAGGACCGTCCATGTGGCTTATTGGGATTGTCTTCGGTTACGCTTGGGGTTTCATCCTCATTATGGTTGGCTCCTTTATCGGTCAATCTCTGCCGTATTTCATTGGCCACTGGCTGTTCCACGCGCGTGTGCAAGCGTGGTTGGCTGAGCACCCACGAAACGCTGCTGTACTGCGATTGGCTGAGGCCGGCGGCTGGTGGCATCAGTACCGGGTCACGTTGCTGCTACGCTTCTCCCCGTTTCCGTTCCTCCTCTTCAATTGTGAGTAGACCCGCGATTTCTGTTCAGATTTCTACCCCTCCTCGCGTGGGTGCATCGGGGTCGTTAGGGTGTTACTTCCGTTGGAGACAAGCTCTGGTTTCTGTGGCTTTTGTGTTGAGTCCTTCCCAATGCCTCCACCTCTCTGTTCCTCTGATCCTTTTCAGACGCTGTAACGGCCACTCGCATCCAGTACGCGCCCTACATCAGCGCATCGATGACTGCCATGATTCCCGAAGCCTTCTTCACCATCTACTGGTGCGTCTGCCACACACATACAATGACGCGGTTCTTGTCACATTCCATTGTTCTCGAGCCGCGCTTAATAATCTATCCTGCTTGTGTTACTAGCTCTTTAATGTGGCAAGGCTGGTGGATTACTTTGGAAAGCTGGCCCTTAGCTGCCTTCCCTGTCATCTCCATATAACCATTGGACCTACAGTGGAGTGGTGTAGCTGGAGTTGTGGGGCTGGAATAATGATAAGCTACTTCTCTCATTCAAACCGTTTTTTAAATCCATTTTCGTTTCTTCCTCTGCTGCAGTGGTCGGCTGATCAGTGATCTGGCGGAGGCCCAGAAGAGGCACATCACAGCGGTGGAGCTGGTGTACGAGCTGATGGGATTGGCAGCAGCAGGGGTGGTGCTGCTGCTGCTCATGGTGCATGGCAAGAGGGCTCTGCAGCAGTTAGAGGAGGAAGAGAGAGCCAAGCAAAAGGGGCTTGAGATGGAACAGGTGGTTTGTATAGGTGCCCATGGGGCGGGTGTGGTGGAAAATGGTGCTGCTGTTGCGTTTGATGGGGTGGAAGTGCCTGCTGCTGAGGTGGCACTTATTGCTGATGACTCTCAGAGTGCATCTGGGAGGGATGGGGTAGCTCAGCAGGGGAGGCAGGCTTATTGTCAAAGCATTCAGGTGGATTTCCCTCTGGATGTCAAGAGCACACAAGGGGCTTTACGGGCCAACATGAATCCCTCTTTCGTGATACACGAATCTGAGGCACATGAAGAGGGTGGTGCAGAGGGAGATGGGCTCCTTGGCGCAGAGTCTTTTTATAGAAGAGGGTTTTATCGCTTGGGGAGGTTAAGTGCAGGCGAGTCAAGTCAGAGGGAGCTGGCAAGCCAGGATGTTGAAGTGGGACTGCAGAGCACCAAGCTGCAAAGCAGAAGCCCCCAAGAGTAAGGTCGCGATGGTGAAAAGGAGACAAGGAGACGGTTTGGTAGGTTCTGTGTTTGTCTAATCCGCTAAAAGTGTATGTGCCAATGGGGCCATGTTGAAAAGTTTGATTTCATAGAAAGTAAGATGCCAAAATTCTCAAGAGAGGTACTTTACATCATTTTGATATTTGCCCTAACGTTAGGTACACTGCTAGTAGCAAAGCGATTGAACAACTCATTCCGTCCCGGTGATGAGGAACCACTTTCATGCACCCTCGCGAGCGACCCTAGCTCAATAAGGGGGATGTCGCACCAAGCCCTAACCCATCATCTGCCACCGTCACCCCCCCATCTTCACCACTGCCCTGCCCTCCCACCCCCACTTTCGTTCTGTCAACCAACACCTTGGGATTGTCGAACTGCAATCTAAAGGGTGGTGGTTGGTGCGTGGTTCGGTATGGTTTGTCGTGGTTGGGAGGGAGTGGTGGGTTGATTTGTGCAAACTTTTCTGCAATGCCAGTTTATGAGAGCTGGCTGGAACTAATTTTGCATTAGTAGGCCGGCAGCTGCGTTCTGAATAGCTGCTGCTTCTGCGTTGCGTTGCCTGGCGTTGCGTTGGGAGAAGATGAACGTGGACTAAGGGTCGCAATTACTCCAATAGCTCTCTTAGTGTGTATCAGAGGCTGTACAATTCCGCAGCAGGAGGGTTGGCTTGAGATAGATACGTGAGTGGTTGCTCCTTTGCCGAGTCCGCATTTTCGCACATTTAAAGCGCTTGTCATTATCGAGCATCGCCCACTCTTTGATACAGTAAACGCAGGAACAGCAGGGTACTCAGGCAGTTTTTTCGCGTGCATCATGAAAGTTACTGTTATTCGCATTAGGTTACGAAGGTTGCTTTCCACGGTTTTTTCATTGCAGCAGTTGTGCTAGATCTTTTACATCTGATGACTTGTGATAATCAGCGAAATCGGGAGACATCGCTAGACATTGTCTACACCGGTCGTCGCATTGAGAATCTCTCTTGGCGGACTGCAGGTAACATTGTCTACTCCGGTCGCCTCTACTTGTCTATTTTTGTCAGCGGGCTGCAGATAACATCGTCCGACCATGGCGGCAATGATGCAGCGATCGCTCTCAGCTGCCACGTCGGAAGACGACGAGTTCGACGAGGAGGTGAGCATGGAAAGAAGCGTTTAAAGCATTTTTTTATAATAGTTGGTATTTCTGTACGAGATTGCTGGCGTGGGGAGAGGAGCATATGCATATGAATTACCCGTGTTGCCTGTTCCGGTAATTTCTATGTATTGGAGAGGATCACATGTGAATGAATCTCACCAGACCATTCTGAACCGGATTGCATCTGCAAAAACTACTCCACTCTCTCTCTCTTGTCTGTGTGTCTGTGTGTGTGCGCGCGCACGTGTGTTTTACTTGTCCAATCACGGTCGACAGCTCGATGGGTTTGATGACTTCACGTTGGCTTCACCATGGGAGAGGTGCGTGCCACTCGTTCAGTCCTCGCACGTTCGCTGCTAGCACAATTCAACTCGCAGCGCATCACCGTTCATCACCCCACAGCACCGTGTGCTTGCGCGCCTGCTTGCACGTAATTGCACCTTGTCCTCTGCCATATTCTGTACGTTATACGCGCATCCTCTGTACGCTTTACGCTCTACGCTATTCCTCATATCCGATTCTCTCCACGCGTGTCCAGGTTCATCGCTGCAGTGGAAGGCAGTCTGCGCCAGTGGCTGTCGGAAGGCTCTGCGGCCCTCGTGCAGGTACTTGCACTCTGATACCTCCACACAGTTTTACGTCTACACTTACAATCTAATACCTGTACAAAAACTAATACTTCCTACACTTACCATCTGATGCCTTCGTCTAAGCCTACGCCCGTTGTGAGTCGGTGAAACTAATTACGTGAAGCGGCAACATCTAGCGGCTAACTGTTCTGCCAGTTATGGCACATTATGACTACCTTGTGCCTCACCCTCCTCTTTCCACCCCTTCTTCCCCGATTTCCCCCCCCGGCAGTCAGGAGCTGCGCGGCCAGTGGAGGGAATGCCGCTGATGGTGTATGTGGAGGCGGAGCACGCGCAGGGCCACAAGAACTACCGCCTCACCTACTACTTCCAGGTCAGTGCCTCCCACAGGAAGCGCTTGGTTTCTTGTTTCTTACTCTACACTCACTGTGCTCAGGGGCATAACATTTTCCACCTCGTAAGATCCAGGGGCATCGCTAGGCATGCATGTGCGTCGCTGAGCATGCCATTGAGCATGCCATTGAGCATGCCATTGCGCATGCCGTTGAGCATGCGTATCCCCGCTGTCGCCTTTATCTAACCCCCGTGACCACCAGGTGTCACTGGCGAGCAGCAACAGCGTGCATCCGACGGTGGCGGCGGAGACAGCAGCAGCACTGAAGCGTATTGCGTCCATCTCCGCCACGGGCCGCCCCAGCCCCTGGGAGAAGGCCGTGCACCCGCTGCAGCTCTGGTTCGGCATCCAAGAGTTTGTGGTGAGCTGCCGTTGCTATGCTCTAGGCTCGGAATGTTTGAGCTCTGGTTGGCATCCACAAGGTTATGGAGTGAGCGACCTGCTGCTGGTAATGCTCTGAGAGTCTTGGTACAAGCTATGGTTAGCTGTTTCTGAGGATCTTGTACTCGTGCAGCCTGGTTCATCCTCTCACCTTGCTCACTTCGTCCCCCCTTCACTCAATTTCTCTCATTCACAGGTGTTGGCACCCGTGACAGCATCTGGGGTTGTTCTGGACTCGCCTGAAGCCTCCATGCTCCTTAGCACGCTCGCCATCGCCTCGTGTAACACCGAGTGGTAACCACCCGTGACACTTCCTATGGTGCTAGAGGGGTTTGAGTAGTCAAGCACGTCTTCTGGCGTAGCGCATGAGCAGCATACGGACTCAAAATTCTTGAGGCTGTTGCATTGCATTCTCGTCATCCATTGCCTGCACCTCTGCTGAACCCTTGCACGCCCTTCTCTTCTCCTCCCGCTCCCCTTCACGTCATCTTCCGCCTCTTTCCTCCTCCCCTCCCCCCTCTCTCCTTTCCCGCCCCCAGCTCCCTGCCATCCTTCGTCCCGGTACACGACCCCTCCCGCAAGGCCTTCATTGGCTTCCAGCACGGTCCCCGAGCCACCCGCACTGGTGCGGGCTCAGGCTCGGGCCGAGGCATGCGGTCAGGTCCGGGCGCGGGAGGAGGCACGGTGGGAGGGGTGGGCGCGGGGGGCGTGGGCGACTACCTGTTTCACTACGAGGCGGACCGCATCACCAGCAACGTGCCTCAGAACCTGCTGTCTCTCGACGGCCTTTACTACCTCTTTGCGTTCAAGCTGGTAAGACAGGGTTGGGCGCGGGTGGGGGGGTGGGGGGCCGTGGGCGACTACCTGTTTCACTACGAGGCGGACCGTATCACCAGCAGCGTGCCGCAGAACCTGCTGTCTCTTGATGGCCTTTATTACCTCTTCGCATTTAAGCTGGTAAGGCATGGATGGGCGCGGGGGGCATGGGGGACTATTTATTGCGGATCGCATCACCAGCAACGTTCCACAGAACCTGCTGTCTGTACTACCTACCTCTTTGCGTTCAAGCTGGTGAGACATGCGTGCTCCGAAGCTGTTGATGCTGATGTCTTTCTCTCTTGCTGTCTTTCCGTCTTTTCCCCGACGCAAGTGCTACTGCCCGCCTGGGCCACTAAGACTCCCCAATGATCAAACCATTCCCTCTTTCTCCCACACGCGAACACTGATGCCCCTGACGTGACCGTGGCCATGCGCATCCGCTACCGCCTCCGCTACTGGGGCTCCCCATTCACTCCCTTCCATCCCTCCCTTCTCTCTCTCCCCACCCCTCCCCTCTCCTCCCCCACACTCACGAGCAGATAGCAGAGCTCCCCAGCACCGTAGCGTCGGTGTCCCCTGACGTCACCGTGGCCATGCGCATCCGCTATCGCCTCCTCTACTGGGGCTCCCCATTCATCCGTGTCACTCCCCCTCTTTCCCTCCTCCCTTTCGCCCTTCTTCCCTTCCCTCTCCACCTCCTCCCCTCCGCCTCCTCCCCTCTCCCCATGCCTCCCTCCCCTTCCCCCCACCCCACCCTCCCTTGCACACATGCAGATAGCAGAGCTCCCCAGCACCGTAGCATCAGTGTCCCCTGACGTCACCGTGGCCATGCGCATCCGCTACCGCCTCCGCTACTGGGGCTCCCCAGACGCGCCCCCGCCCTCCAAGACCCGCCCAGCAGAAGCAGGCGCAGGCGCGGGGAGCGAGGAGGGCGCAGGCGCAGGGGTGGAGGAGGAGGACGAGTTCTGGGGGCAGGAGAGGGCGTGGGACGAGGGCATGGCGTGGAGTGTGTGGCACTCGGTGGACGATCCGGTGAAGGGGTTTGAGCTGGTGGCCACGTGGAAGGAGCTCAGGGCGAGTAGTTCGTCAGGCATGGCCCAGATGGAGCAGCTCGATGCCACTACCGCGGATGAGTGGCTGCTGCGCGCACTGCTCGCCCCCACCAGGTGAGGGCACTGCTGTTCCCCTCTAGTTGAGGCATCTCCCTTCACTCCCAGCAGGCAAGACGTCTCCCCTTGAACCACCTGTTGCTTCCTTCACCTATCCTCTCTTTCACTCTTTTTCCCACACCTCCCCTCTGCTCCCTGCAGGACTGACTTTGACAGTGACGACCCCCCTCAGGGCTTTGCTGGACGGCTGCATGCACTGCTGGGGGCGTACGTGGTGTCCACCACAGGCCAGTACATGGAAGACTTTATAGCGGGTATGTGGTGTATATGAGTATATCTTGTTATTCATTATTGTCGAGCTGCTGGCTGGTGTACCCGTGGAAAGTCAATTGCTTATGGAGGTGTTCATATCGTGCATCTCCTTTTCTCCTTACTCTTCTCTGCTCCTCACATCTCGTCCCCGTTCTCTTCTCTCTCTTTCCCCTGCCTCGTCTTGTTGCTCCACATCTCTTTCTCCCCCATCACAGCTCAGAACTTTGCGCGGCGCAACAACATGACCATCCCGCCGCCCAGTGTCATGGAGCGAGTGGTCAAGGACCTCTTCCACTCCAGTGAGTGGCACCCTTGAGCTCTTTCTGTAGCGCATACAAACCCTTTGAAGGTTGAAGGCGCCTCAAAACCGCGCCCCATGTCATGGAGCGTGAGTTGCACATTTGCGCTCTTTATGAGCATCAAAAGCGCTCCCAGTGTCCATGGGGCGAAGTACATGGGGAAGGTGTCAGAGTAGCAGGAGGCCAGTTTTTTTTTTTTTTTTTTTCCTTTCCTGCACACATGACTTAACTCTCCACTCCACCCTCCTCCTGGCAACCGCCTACCCTCCCCGCTCTCCTGGCTCCCGTCCGTTCCATCTTCACCCATGCAGAGGAGGCGCTGGCGTCAGTGGCGAAGTACATGGGGAAGGCGTCAGAACAGCAGGAGGCGAGCCTGCTGCCTGACGCTGACCGTGGCACCATCACCACCGCCAGCAGCGTCATCAGCAGCATCAGCGCCACCGACACCAGCGCCACTGGCAGTGGGGTGAAGGGTCCCGGGGGAGAGGGAGCAGCGGGGGCAGGAGCGGAGGGAGGCGGAGCAGAAGGTGCAGGGGGAGAAGGGGTGGAGGAGAATGGGCTGAGTGGCAAGTTCAAGGGGGTGACGCACATTGGCAAGGCTGCGCCGGTGGATTCGCTCTTTTCCCGCCTCGCTCTGCATGTGCTGCGCTTTGGCACCTGCAACATCAGATGTGAGCCACCCCCGCCCGCCTCGTCCATGCCACCTGTGGCCTCGGGTATCTTTCGCTTGCTCTTTGAAAACCCTTTCCTTTCCTTTTCCCCTCATGTCCCCCAGCCGTGGCTGGAATTTACTCGCGAGCTGCGGTGAAACTGCCACGGGAGAGGAGGCGGCTTGTGCATATGATGCGGCTGTGATCAAGAGGGATGGCCCAGATGCCATGAATAACGCTACTATGTTTGGCTACCACCCGCCCCTTCGCCGCTCAAGTCGCCAAACATAGTAGCGCTAGTCATGGCATCTGGGCCATCCCTCTTGATTGCAGCCGCGTCATATGCACAAGCTGCATCCCTTTTGTGAGAATTCCATGCCTTGCCCCCTTGTTCCTTCACCTCTGTCCCCCTTCCAGCCGTGGCAGCGCTGTGGCTGGAGTTCACATCACATCACACGTGAGCTGAGGTGTAACTGGGAACAGGACACTTGCCGCGTCCCCTCTCATTGCTCTCTCATCCCTAACCCTCTGCCCCCTTGCACTCCCTTCTGGCCCTCTTTCAGCTGTGGCGGCGCTGTGGCTGGAGTTCACGCGTGAGCTGAGGTGGAACTGGGAGCAGGCGCTGCCCATCCCTCGAGTCATTGCAGACGGGCCTCCCAACACCGCCACCTGCCTCATCCACCAGAAGCTGCAGCTGGTACGTGGCTTTAAGACGCCACATTCTCCCCACACTGTCTCTCAGAGATGCAGCTGGCAGGGTTGCTGTCGTTTTTGCATCCCTGAATGTTCCTCTAATTTCTTTTTACCACCCATTTCCCCGTTACCACCCCGTAATTCCTTTCCCCGTTCAGCTCCTGAGCCGGTATTGAAATGATCTCTCCCTCTGTTATCCTCTCTCACTTCGCCCCCCATCCCCTTTCCCCCGTGCAGCTGCAGGAGTGCATTAAGCGGCGGCGCAAGCAGCAGGAGCGGGAAATGGAGGAGCGCATGCGTCACGCCGAGCGCATGCACCAAATCGCCGCCGCCAAGCTTGTAGGCGAGCGCGTGGAGGAGCTTGTAAGGGGTACAGCACTCGACGACGGCCCGGCTCGCTCTGACTCGCCGCCAGGGAGGGGCGGCAGGAGGCGAGGCAGCAGGAGGGAGAGGGGAGGGAGGGGGAGTGACAGGAGGGGTGGGAGGGATGAGGAGGAGTGGGAGGGGATGGATAGGTCTGGGAGTGAAGGAGGCGGCTGGCATGATGGAAGGGCGGGCCGGGGGCGGGGAGGACGCGGGTGGGACGATGGCGACGGGGCGAGCCCGTACCACGACGACAAGACGGCCTCGGGGGACTCGGACACGCACGGGTCGCACGACGTGGTGTTCTATGATGAGGGGGGTGTGGCTGATGGCGACTCGCCTTCCCACCGCAGCGAAGAGGACCTTGATGAGTGAGTGCAGCATGTGGTGCTTGAGGGGAATAGAGGGGGGGGAAGTGGGGGTGAGTGGATGGTTTGCGATGGGGAGGGGAGTGGATGGTGTATCGTGAGCAGGGAGGGGGCTGGGCCCATGCGATGCGTTGGAGAAGTGAGCAGAGAGGGGTCTGCATGAGCCGTGCGCCTCATTCAGCCCTTGAGGCAGCAACACTCAATCCACTCCTCACTTATTCACCTCACACCATCCACCACCCACCCACCCACCCACTGCCTGCCTGCCTACACAACCCACAGATATTTCAGCGAGAGCGACGTATCGGACGACGACACCTGGGCGGAGAGGGGCCGCACGAGCCACGGCCTCACGGGGGCGATGGCGAGGGGGCGGCGCCGCGTGCGGAGGCGGGGGGTGGTGGGGCCGGTGAAGGGAGACATGTGGCTGCTGCGCGTGAGGCGGCGCATGCTGGAGCCTCACACACAGGACCCGGTGTTCATGAGTGAAGATATGATCGAGGAGAAGGAGCGAGCCATGGAGGCTCTGGGGAGCACGCCTGCGGTGAGTGTCAGTGAGTGGTTCCCTCCGTTGTGTCATCTCAGTTGGAGTCAGCTTGAGGCGCCACAGATGTAGGCTCTTGGTAGTTTCTGGGGGGGTGAGTCATTTGTCAGGGGGTGGTGGGGCTGGTGAAGGGAGACATGTGGCTGCTGCGTTTGAGGCGGCGCATGCTGGAGCCACACACCCAGGACCCGACGTTCATGAGTGAAGAAATGATCGAGGAGAAGGAGCGAGCCATGGAGGCTCTTGGTAGCGCGCCTGCGGTAAGAAGGTTGGTTACTTGCAAGCAAGGTTAGTCACTTGGTAGCTCGCTGAGAGGGGGGGGCAGGGTGAGTCTTTATTGGGGGTAGCGGGGCCAGTGAAGGGCAACATGTGGCTGCTGCGTGTGAGTGGATGTGTGGGTGTACTGTGTAGTGCATGTGCTCTAACTGTAACATCTGCGCTTGTCTGTCTGCTCGTGTGTCATGTGCGCAGGGGCGTGAAACTCGAGCTCGCATGCAGAGTGACGTTGTTGCTTCAGGTATAGTCCGTTCTTCGTCTAGTCAACTTTTTTTTTTTTTCGTCTTTGTTTCTGCTTTCTCTCTTTTCCTTTATTTCTTCTGTTTCTGATTTTCCGTCATGCTTCTTGCCCTTTCTCTCTTGCGCTGCCCCGGTGCATCTCTGCTCTCTAGCACGCAATCTGCATTCTCGCCTCCGCGGACGTTGAGCTTTCAAAGCAATAGCTTAGCGCCTCCCCACCCCGGCCCCCCACACACATGCTCTTCCTACCCTTTCTCCTCCAGACATGTCGGCGTTCAAAGCTGCAAACCCCGGGGCAGTGCTAGAGGACTTTGTGCGCTGGCACTCGCCCAACGACTGGCTGCCAATCACAAGCGCGGATGAGGGCTCTGATGACGTGGATGATTATGATGATGAGTATGACGATGGTGGTAGGCGGTACGGGAGGGAAGATGATGATAGGTACGGCCGGGGCGACCGGTATGAGGATCGGGAGGACAGGTACAGAAGGGGAGGAGGCAACAGGTACGGAAGGGGAGAGGAGGAGCGGTACAGGAGGGATGATAGCCTGAGGGACAGGGATGATAGCTTTAGGGACGCGAGTGGGAGGTTCAGTGACAGCGGGAGGTATGGGGAGAGCGGGAGGTATGGTGATGATGATTATTCAGACAGGGAGATTGATAGGGAGAGGGAGCGAGAGAGGGAGAGGGAGAGGGAGAGGGAGCGAGAGAGAGGGCGTGACACAGAAGAGAGTGACATTGACAGGGAGGTGGATAGGAAGGCTGGTGGCAGGGATAGGAGCAGGGAGAGGGAGAGGGAGAGGGAGAAGGGCAGAGAGTATGGTGGCGGAGGCAAGAGTTCGAGGGAAGGGGACTCTGATTTAGACCCGGATGGAACCCGCGGTGGGAACGAGGAGAAGGAGAGCTCTCCTTCTCGCCGCCGCAGCAGCAGTCCCGGGAAGGACAAGGAGGAAGAAGATGAGTTTTTTGAAGCGGCTCAGGAAGAGAAGTCTGGAGATACGGTGGCTGGTGAGGGGCAGGCAGCAGGGGCGGGTGGAGATGCTGGGAAGGAGGATGGCGTTGAGAAAGTGGAGGATTGGGAGAAGGGAGGCGAGGAAGAGAAGGGTGAAGAGGTAGGGGAGAGTGTGGCGGATGGTGGGAAAGGAGTGGAGAAGGAGGGTGTGAAAGAGATTGAGGTTGAGGGTGGTTCAGGGGATGAGCCGAGGGTGGAAGGGAGTAAGAAAGCTGTGGAGAAAGGAGAGAGGGAGGAGGACAGGGACAACAGCGATAGGGAGAGGGAGAGGGATGAGAGCGATAGGGAGAGAGGTAGGGATAGGGAAGCGCTCAAAGGGAGGGAGGAGGAGAGGGAGAGGGAGAGGGAGAGGTACCGAAGCCCAGAACCTGACAGTGACCCAGAGAGGGAGAGGGAAAGGGAGAGAGAGAGGGAGAGGGGAAGGGGCAGGGGGGGCAGGGGGCGAGAGGACGGGGAGTACAGTGACGACCGCGAGGAGTGGGACGAGTTTGGCGAGCGGCGCCGCGGCCGAGACAGGCGCGACGACCGTGACGACCGTTACCGAGACGACCGGGACCGGGATGATCGTGATGATTATGACGAGCGCGACTGGAGGGACGATGACGTCAGGAGGCGGGGCGGGCGGCGGGACAGCGAGGAGCACGAGCGTGGCGGGCGCAGGGGCGGGAGAGGGAGAGGGGGCGGCAGTGGGAGAGGTGCTGGTGGGGCCGGTGGGAGCAGGCGGCGGCGGCACCGCGTGGATGGGTCGGGGTGGCCGCCGAGGGGCCGGCTGTCGGAGCGCATGGAGGAGGTGCATGGCAACCTGTGGCGCGAGCTGTGGGACAGCGCTGAGCCTGAACCTGCTCATGAGCAGAGGCCTATTTTCCACTTCGACCTGGAGGGCGAGAAGGTGAGGGCTGAGGGGAGATTTGAGTTGACTCAAAATTCGAGTTGACTCAAAGCTGCAGGACAGCGCTGAGCCTGAACCTGCGCATGTGCAGCGACCCATCTTCCACTTTGACCTCGACGGCGAGAAGGTGTGGGGCATGAAGGGCGAGAGTGGGCAATGTGGGAAGTGAGGAGAGTGTGGGGGAAGGCTAGTCCGACAGCACTGAGCGTGATCCTGCTCACGAGCAGCGGCCTATTTTTTTCCGCTTTGACCTTGAGTGCAAGAAGGTGAGGGGAGGGGGGTGAGTGAGGGGAATGGGGGAAAGTTTTTTCCGCTTTGACCTTGAGTGCGAGAAGGTGAGGGGAGGGGGTTGAATGAGGGGAATGGGGGAAAGAGGGTGAGCTGCTGAGGCAGCTTCTTGACATGCAAATACTACGCCCACCTGATCCACTCTTCCCATCCCCGACTCTTCACCCTTCTCACATCCAACCCCTCCCCCTCCCCCTCCTCGTCACCCCCCTCCAGATGCTGCTTTATCTGGACACAGTGGTGCCGGAGGAGCTGCTGGGGCAGCTTCTTGAAATGATCCACTTGATTCACCTACTCACCCACCCCACCCCACCCCACCCCACCCCATCAGATCCTGATCCTGCACCACTTAGACACAGTGGTGCCGGAGGAGCTGACGGGGCAGCTTGTTGCAACGCAGACACTAACCCTCTGCACTCCCCCCTCTCCCTTCTTTGCCCCACACCCTCCCGTCCCCCATCGCACCCTTCTCCACCCCCCGCCACCCCATCAGATCCTGCACTATCTGGACACGGTGGTACTGGAGGAGCTGCTGGGGCAGCTTGCTGAAATGCAGGCACTAAGCCTCCACCCCCCTCTTCCACCCTAACCCTCCTCTACCCCTCTCCACCCACCTCCACCCCCCTCCACCCCATCAGATCCTGCACTACTTAGACACGGTGGTACCGGAGGAGTTGCTGGGGCAGCTGCTGGCGACGTGCTTCTCGTCGGCTGTGCTGCTGTTGGGTCGCGACCAGGGGGGGCGAGAGGAGCCGGTTGCGGAGCAGAGGCAGCGCGTGGCGGGCATGGTTTCCAGCATGTGGCAGTGGCTGGACGATCGTGAGTCATGGGGGTAGGCTGGTTTGCTGTTACGTGGGATTCCCGAGCTGGTGGATTCCGAATTTCCTCAAAAGGCAACAGCCATGGTGGCAGCTTCTTGTGCTGCATCCATCCCCACCCCTCTCCACCCCTTCCATTCTCCAGAGAGCGCTGGCAGTTGCTCCGACGAACGAGTCGAAGACTTGGAGGTGCTGCTGAGGGCGTTCACGCGCATGGAGGCCACAGCCATGGTGGCGGCGTCACTGTGGAAGCGCCTGCAGGGCTGCTCACGGCTGGTGGCCAAACTGCTGTCCGAAAGGGCCCTCAACGCCACTGATGTGCCGTCTGTGCGCCTGCTGCCCGCTCCCATCCGTCTTCCGCATCTGCCTGTGAGTATCTGGTGTGAATGCGTCGGGACGGAGCATCCGTTCTGAACCACAATCATCTCCGCCCCCCTGGCCCCTCCTCCCCCTCTCCCCTGCATACACCCTCCTTCCCCCTCCTTCTCTCCCCTCCTCCCCTCCGCTCTTCTCCTCCCCTCCTCCCCCCCGTTTCCCCTGCCATCCCCACCCCACACTCCTTCCCCCCATTCCAATCTGCACTCCACCAATCACAGGAGCCGGACAGCCGAACGGATGAATGGCGGGTCGTGGGCAGGCTATGGCAGGAGAAGGAACCTTCGGGCAGCAGCAGCAGCGACACCACTGGAGCAACCAGCAGCACCCCTGGCAGCAGCAGCAGCAGCTCCTCTGCTGCTCCCCCACTCCCCCCTGCTGCCGCCAAGGCTTCTGGCGGGGGGCGACGCATGGGGAACCTGCTTTACAGGCACGAGCCCACAGAGCGTGAGGTTATTTTCACATCGCCAGCGTTTGTGATTTTCAACACGGTGGACGAGGAGGATGCGGCGACGGGCGCTGTGGCGTCGAGGGACTCGGTGGAGATTGTGAAGCACCAGCTGTATGCCAAGGCAAGCTTGGATGACCTCACTCTTGCGCTCAAGGTTGCTGCGCAGGAGTAGAAAATGAATTTCGTTTTTTTTCCTGACTATATTAGGGAAGGCGAGATGACCTGTGTGGCAGGCAAATTTGGTGGCGAACTTTCTTAGGAGATCGTTGAAGCCTTACTGGTACCGTAAGTGAGGTAGTGTTTGGAAAGAACATTCGAACCACTGTTGCGCCTAAGATCGTTCAGAAACTCCTGGAACATGGTCGCTACCAAGCCAGGAAGGCCACCGAACCAAATTCCTTGCCTCGAGCTTGACGAACGTCGCTGTACGCGCGCAGTTGTCGTCAGATCTTCCCAGCGCCCGAGCTCCAAGGCGGAGCTCACTGAACCGAAGCAACGAGAGAATTGCTCCAAACCCAGCAGTTCCAACGCACAAAAATATCCTACCCCGTTTTCCCGCCTCTGCCACAGGCATTCGAAACAGTATCCCTCAGAGGACATCTCCAGCTCCGAAACCGTGACCCCGTCAGCGGAGTTCACTTCTGACGTGGGCTGGGCTAGCCTTCCGGTGGCGCGTCCGAACGACCGAACCCAGTTGGAAAAGGCGCGACTCCCGTCGATTTGTCCGCTGCGAGGACAAGTGCAGCTTACTGGTCAGCGGCTTGCTTACGCGGAATTTGATGGGCTCCCGAAGAACGCGCGTGGCGCAAAACCTGCGCCAACGCGGAACTGGATACCGCAGACCTACGCGTTCCCCCCACTTCCCGTCTCTTTCCGTCAGTTCTGTCCAGTTCTGTCACTCCGTCATCCCGTCAAGTTCTTGCCAGAGAAGCATCAGTGAGCATGAGGGCTGGAGACAGGTCACAGGAGCAAAGCGTGCAAGTCCAGCAGTTGACAGATAATTGCAACACATGTCCGACGAGGTTGGAGTGTGCTTGTGCCTTCTCAACGAGCCGTTGAAGGTGATCATTATCAGGCACACACACACGAGATTTGAGGGATTTCAGATTCCTAAGGTGGTCGCTAGATTATGATGGAAAAACCTGAGCAGAAACCCTGTTAGCGCCTCGACTCGTACGGATGCTCGTGCGCCTTCGACCAGAAAACAAGCTTCATAGTTCCCTGAAATTCTGTCTCTTTGGTTGGAGTCCAGAATTTGTCATATAAAATAAGTTCAGTTAGAGTTAGTGCCTTTCAGATGTCCCTTGCATAATTTTTAACCCTTTCTTGTAGTTACCACCAACATTAGTTACACAAGGTACGATCAATGGTGGATCCTGAAGAAGTTAATCCACTCAACAGTAGCAGCAGTAGCCATGGCAGCAGAAACCCGCCAGTTCCGTCTAGTCTGAGTCAACCCAGGGTCACAGGGCCTGGAATCCGTAGCGGTTCGACTCAGCATGATTCCACCAGCAATGTGTTGACCATGTTCGGTTCGAGATTTTCCCCCATCGAAGTGTTGTCTAGAATCCTTCGCGCAACTAGCGGAGAAGAGCCCAGCTCCAGCGGACGACGCGGTGGTCAAGCACCCGAACGAGCCAATCAGGAGCGACACCAGCTCCTTCCGCAATGGCTATCTGACAGCACTGACGGCCGTCAGCTTCAGCAGCAGCAGCCACGTCAGCAGCCACGCCAGCAGTCTCAACGGCAGCAGGCGCACGAAAACGGTCAGTTTGTCAGCGCTTCGGACTCGGATCAAGAAGAGCAGCATCTATTCCACCGCGTTGTCGACGTCGCGGGATCTCCGCCGTTATCCGCGCTTAGTCTCGGTCTCTCCTCCGCGTTTTTCGGCTCAGATCAGCGCGCTGCTCCTGTGCGTCGAAATCCCGGCCATTCCCCTCTTCTCGCCAGCCAACCCGTTACAAGCAGTCGATCCGCTACAAGCGGTAGCTCCCCGCTCATCCTTTCTGACTCGAATTCAGAAACTACGAGAAATCTACCAGGTCTAGGAACTAGTGGACCTTTTGAAGGACAGACGGGAGAAGGGCCACGTGTCACGCGGTCGCACCCTCCGCAGTTGCCGCCGCTGCCTCCTCCAGCGATAGCACCCGCCTCTCAGAAGCGCGCCGAGCGTTCTGCGACGGTCAACGATCAAGAACGAGTAGATGATTGCCACGTGGAAGGACGAGGGGAAGCGCGCGCGCGCGGGGAAACTCGTGGGGAAGGGGAAGGGGAAGAAGGACAAGGGGGAGATTCCGCGCACCCGAGAATCTTCTCCGCCAACGGGGATGCCGTTTCAGGGTGCCGTCCTTATGAGACTCCGCCACCCATTCAGCGACGGCCGTACGATGCCCACGTGGCAGTATCGTCGACCAATGGCGAGCCTTTCAGTCTCCGGAGTCTCACTTCCCCCCCAACTCCATCCCAGATGGCAATTCTCCCCGCATCCTCCGCCGCTTTGCACGCCTCGCCTTCGTTAATGTCACTTCCGGGTAGCTTAATAGAGGGAGCGGAGAGGCGGGAGAGCGACGCAGGCGGGGAAATTCGGCTGGATGTGGACTTGGGAGGGGAGGAAGGGAGGGGGGAAGAGAGACGGAGAGACGGAGCGCATGGTGCAGCGGGTGGAGTTGGAGGAACGGTTGAAGGAAGGGGATCGGCAGGAGAAGCCGAAACAGCATCAGCAGTGGGAGCAGGTGCAGGAGCAGGAACAGGAGCAGAAGGTGGCGCAGGAGCAGGAGCGGCAGAAGCAGGGGCAGCAGGAGCGGCAGGACAAGCGGGGGTGTTAGCGGTAACAGGGACAGCAGGGAGCGAAGGTGATTCATCAGAGACGGCAAGCGACGCGGCAGGGGAAGCGGCTGCAATGGCAATCATAGGGGCAAGAGGGGGAGGAGCAGGGCGAGCAGCTGGAGCGGCAGAGGGACGGTCAGAGACACAGGGGGGGAGTCCCACTGGTGGCAACCCTGGTGAGGACACGGACGAAGGGGCGAGAGGAGGGGGAGGGGAAGGGGGAGGCGGAGGCGGAGGCGGAGGGGGGACGGTAACGCGCGGGTCGGACATGCACCTGGCTGCGCGGAGCCTGGAGCAGGCCGTGCCGTTCGCGTTCCTGCTGCTCTTCGTGCAAGTCCGGCAGCACCTGATTGGTGAGTGGGGAGTGAGGCAGCACCTGATTGGTGAGTGGGGAGTGAGGCAGCACCTGATTGATGAGTGGGGAGTGAGGCTGGTCAGCACAAGAGCAGATTCAGCTGGCGTTGTGTGCGTGGGCAATAGAAGAATAAGCGCAATTGGCGTTTGGGCTTGTGTTGCCATGCATGCGTGGGTATGAGGGTATGCATGCGTGGTTGTGTTGGCATGCATGCGTGCACCAACTCACCAACTCACAGCACGCCAGCGCGCTAGCATGCCAGCACGCCGGCACGCCAGCACACCAACTCACCAGCACACCAACTCACCAGCACACCAACTCACCAGCACACACGTGTATCTTTCTGTGCTCTCCCTCTCCCCACACAGGCTTCTGCACGGTCGTGTGGCTGACAGCGACGCTCTTCAAGGCCAACGACTTCATCCGCAAACAGGGCGCGCTCAAGGTGCGTTCTGCCTGTCTGTCTGACTGTCACCCCTTCCTTATAAGAACCACTTTACATACTGTCACCTTCAGGTTATAAGAACCGTGCCACACCCTTCAGGTCATAAGAACCGTGCAACACCCTCTCCGTGAACCTTCCCCACGTGCCCTGCTCATACTCCCCCCATCGCCCTTTGCTTCTCTTTCCCCCTCCTCCTCCCCCTCCCGCTCCTTTGCTCCTCTCCTCCCCCTCCCGTTCACGCTCTGCTTCCCCTCCCTTTCCGTCTCCGCTTTCTCCTCTTCCATCTCCCCTTCCTTCCTCTTTCCCCGAATTTATTGCCAGGCGGACCGCAATCCGGTGCTGCTGGCACTGGCAGCTGTGCTGCTGCTTGCACACGTGGCAGTTGTTAATTGGCTCTTCTGGCCCGAGCAGCTGTGGAGACCGCTTCTGCTCATACCGCCTGCTGAAGTGCCCCCTTTCTGGCATGCTCTCTTCATTATAGTCACAAATGGTGAGTGTTCGAAAACTGCATGTTTTGCGTATGTTCTTACAGATGCTATGTCAAATCTGCTATTAGGTGTTGATTTCAGTATCAAATCTGTTAAACTCACTTCAGTAATGAAAATCTGAAAGGAAACCTCCTCACAAATCTTAACAAGAAAATTGTCTGTGCGAAATTGCCTTTCACCTCGCCTATTTTCCACCGCTAATCTTCCTTTCCCCTCTCCCCACCCCTGATCAAACATGTGGTTGCCATCAGATGTGCTGGTGCGGTTCGCGGCCATGGCAGAGAAGTGTGGCATCCTCGTTACATTCTCGCGGCTTCCTTGTTGCATTCTCGCAGCTTCCTCGTCGCTCCTCATTGTTTGTCCCACTCCCCCATCCCCTCCTGCCTGCCCATCAGACGTGCTGGTGCGCTTCATGGCCATGGCAGTGAAGTGTGGCATCCTCGTTGCTCACCGCCGCAGCAAGGGGATGCACAATCGCCACCAGGTATGCACGGCGTGTCAGGGTGGCGAGTGCCGTTTGTGTCGACTCGAAAGTCACTACGTTGCTCACCACCGCAGCAAGGGCCTGCACAATCGCCACCAGGTAGGGAGTGCGTTTTGGGACATCCAGCACCTTGCAGCACGCAGCACCATGCAGCACCATGCAGCACCATGCAGCACCATCCTCGTTCATTGCACACCACTGCAGCAAGGGTCTGCTCTCAGTGTACCAACCTTCTCTTCTCTCTATCTCTCTCTCATTCTCTCACCCGTCCCTTAATCACCAGCCGCAGATTCCAGCCCTCGTGTAAAATACACATCCCCGGTAGACCATGCTTTTGTGCCGGCACCCGTGTGGTTACCATTTGTTGTCTTGTAACTCTCTCCATCACTCTCCCTCTCTCCCTCATAGCTTCCCTCTCTCCCACCAGGCGCAGATACTAACCTGCATGGAGTATCATTGTATCCCCCTATCCCCCGCTCTCTCTCCCTCCCTCCCACCCATCCCCCCTCTCCCCCACCAGGCGCAGGTCCTAACCCTAGTGGAGTACACAACTCTGCTCTACCGTACCTGTGTGCCAGCACCCATATGGTTCCAAATTTTTATAGATTCTCCAAATTTCCCAGCATTCTCAATGACCAGGCCTATGGCCGACTCACCGCCTCCCTCACCGCCTCACTCCTTCCTCTCCCCTCTCCTCTCTCCCCCACCAGGCGCAGGTCCTAACCCTAGTGGAGTACACGTCGCTCCTCTACCGTGCCTGGGTGCCGGCACCCATGTGGTTTCTTGCCAGTCTGTTCTTAGCTGTATGATTGTTTTTTCCTCCTCCCCCCCTCCTCTCTCCCCCACCAGGCGCAGGTCCTAACCCTAGTGGAGTACACGTCGCTCCTCTACCGGGCCTGGGTGCCGGCACCCATGTGGTTTCTTGCCAGTCTGTTCTTAGCTGTATGATTGTTTTTTCCTCCTCCCCCCCTCCTCTCTCCCCCACCAGGCGCAGGTCCTAACCCTAGTGGAGTACACGTCGCTCCTCTACCGGGCGTGGGTGCCGGCACCTGTGTGGTTCCAGTTCTTTCTCAACGACCAGGCATATGGCCGCCTCACCGCCTCCCTCACTGCAGGGCTCTACCTCGCGTTCAAGCTCTCCACCTCGCTCGACAGGGTATGGCATGCTGCTCTCGTCATCTTTCCTTAGGCGCCTCAAAAGTAGATAACTAGTTGTATGGCCGACTCACCGCCTCCTCACTGTTGGACTCTACCGCGCCTTGAGCTCTCCACCTCACTCGACAGGGTATGCTTCTCATATCACCTGGTAGGTACGATATGGCAACGTCACTTGTGCGCATTCATTGTTTAAGCGCGTCGCCTGGCGCCTCAGAAATGTCACTCGTTCTCAATGGATTCTTCTCATTGCTGTACTGCTGTTTTTGTGTCAAGTCTCTTTGATCCCCTCTACTTGTTGTGTATCGTTGAGCCATGCTCAACAATTCGTCAACAGCTACTCAGTAGTTGAAGGTCACGGTCGGTCACTCCTCTTGTTTGTCTTAGAACCATGCTCATTAGTTTCGCAATATTTTCTGTTTTGCTGGCTGTCCCTCTACAGTCCCTCACTCTCTTCGCTTGTGCGACAGGTGCCGCTCTTTGTCTCCACGGATTTACAGTCTCTGGGATTTTTTCAGTTAATCCAAATACTGAATCAAACCTCTCTCCCCTTGTGCGCCAGGTGCTCCTCTTTGTGTCCGCTGTTCGCCAAGCGGTTGGGAAAGGCGAGCAGTATGGGACCGAGGCCACGCCTGACGAGGTATGCTTTTTGGTGAAGGGGAAAGATTCCAAAAGCAGTATGGCACTGCGGCCACAGCTAGCTAGGTGTGTATGGTCACAGCAGAGTACACATGGCCATTCTAGGGGAGGGGTCGAATGGCCATGTGGTGGACTCTGCTTGCAGGCAGAGGAGACAGCAGAGCGATGTGGCTCCAGGTGAGTGAACAGAGAAAACTGAGAAACTATTGCACTCAAGCACCCGAGATGGTATGGGGTTTGTGAAACGAATTTTGAGCCAAAGTAGGACAGTTTCAATAGGTTGATTGGACAGTTTCTGTGAAGGTTCTTTGGCTGTCGAGGGCATGTTTGCTCGGTATGACTGGTTCTGACTGCATGCGGCTGTATCCCTGACCTGCATCACTATGAGCTCATCACCTCACATTGGCTCAAATGTGTTTCACGACCTCCTTTCACCCCTCTCTCTCCTGCTGTTTCTGCCAATTCATGCTGATCCTGGGCTGACCAGCGTTCATATTCGGGAATGTGCATACTTGCACCTTTTTCTCTCTTTCCTCCTTTTTGCCCCACCAGGTGGCAGCAGCCGGCAACATGTGTGCCATCTGCCAGGAGCACATGACAGGCCCTGTCACGCTGCGATGCCGCCACGTGTTCTGCGACGAATGTGTCTCTGAATGGTAAGTTACGATTCATTGGTTATCTAGTAGTCATGAAATGGTCAGCAGCAGGTGTGCTGTATCATCAATCGCGTTGGTGGTAATGCACTGTGAACCTCATTCTGTTTCACCCGTTTTCATGACTGTTGGTACAGTGTGTTGTAGTTTCTGTACTAACTTGTTATTTCCATACTCATCCATCCATGGCAGGTTTGAAAGGGAGCGGACCTGCCCTCTGTGTCGCATGGTGGTTAAACCAGCAGGGCTTCGCTCATTCAGTGATGCCAACACAAGCCTGCTAGTTCAGCTGTTTTGAATTGCCTCCACCATAGCAATTAGGTACATTAGTTTATTACTTGCAGTGCAAAATCCTTCAACTTGCTACATACCAGCACACATAACCTACTGGTACTACCGTATTCTCCCGGATAAAACACCCCCCCGAAATTGTACACCCCCAGGTAGCTAATACGGGGTGGGTGTTATATCCGACCCCGTTTGTACTATACCCCCCCTTTTGGGGTGATTTTCTTTAACACCCCCCTTTTCTTATAGATTCATATTATAGCTGTTATCGAGTCCGATTCCTTACGGGAAGATATCGCGAGAATTGCTCCCTAGGTGAAATTTTGCGTGTACTTTCACTTAGAATCTGCCAAGATTTCCCCCCTCCCACAATCTCGCTGTCGCCACGCTGGCGAATCTTCCGCTGCAAGTGGCCCAATAGGTGAAAATCACCTTCTCACATGAGACACAGACACGTGACCAAACCAGTCAAGAAGTGACTGGTACAGTAAGAACGCACCACCGTGTGCGATTCTGGCCTCGGCGGTTGCATGAACCCTCGCCACGCAATTGGCTTTGTTTTCACCCTATCAAGTGCCAGAATTGCCCACTCGAATTTGCTACGTGGCAGATTCCAGTGGGCGGTCACGTTATCCTCGTATTTAGAAAGCTTGCTTTCTTGCATGTAGCAATTGGCATCGTCTCATTTCAAATGGGTTTAGTACAATTGAAATCCAAGCAGCGTCATTACAATAATATGCCTCTATGTTATCAACGCTATCCTGCTTTCGAGGGGGGGTGGGTGGGAAGATCGGCTAAACCGTCTGAAATGAGAGACGTGGGTGGAGGGAAATGACCTCCAGCCCACGTTTTGTACTCCAAAACGGGCGTTTAGCGCGGCTCGACGCTGCCAAATCCTACATTACAGGCAGCTTCGCTTTCAAAATACATAATTTTAAAAAGCGTTACAGCTTTTGAAAATATACATATTTAGAAAGCTTGCTTTCTTGCATGTAGCAATTGGCATCGTCTCATTTCAAATGGGTTTAGTACAATTGAAATCCAAGCAGCGTCATTACAATAATATGCCTCTATGTTATCAACACTATCCTGCTTTCGAGGGGGGGTGGGTGGGAAGATCGGCTAAACCGTCTGAAATGAGAGACGTGGGTGGAGGGAAATGACCTCCAGCCCACGTTTTGTACTCCAAAACGGGCGTTTAGCGCGGCTCGACGCTGCCAAATCCTACAGTACAGGCAGCTTCGCTTTCAAAATACATAATTTTAAAAAGCGTTACAGCTTTTGAAAATATACATATTTAGAAAGCTTGCTTTCTTGCATGTAGCAATTGGCATCGTCTCATTTCAAATGGGTTTAGTACAATTGAAATCCAAGCAGCGTCATTACAATAATATGCCTCTATGTTATCAACGCTATCCTGCTTTCGAGGGGGGGTGGGTGGGAAGATCGGCTAAACCGTCTGAAATGAGAGACGTGGGTGGAGGGAAATTGTGAAACTATGAGCAGAGGAATGAATTGACTAAGTCAGAGTTGGGTACAAATACAACCCTAGCAAACTGTACCCCATATGTGCTACCCCACTATAGCCTACAAACATGCATCAGCTATAATAATCTGACACACCCCCATAGGCAAAGTGGGGGAGAACAAGGGGTCACAAGACCAGTCAAGCAAAGCAAAACAAGCTCAGGGTGGATCACAAAGTCACCACACAGTCCGAGCACAAGAGCAAGGCCAGAGGCCAGTTCACATGCAGGAGTAAAGACATATATATAAAACTAGACAAGCAAGAGCAGGTATATATATGTCAAAGTACAAGTAAAGTCAAGAAGAGAGCAAGTGAGGCAAGACAGGTACAAGACCCAGCTGGGTACAAAAGCGCTGATGGTCGCAAGGCGCAAGTGCCTTGGTGAACACATCAGCAGTGTTGGCCTCAGAGGCCACGTAAGCAAGTCGCAACTGACCACGCTGCTGCAGCTCACGAGCAAGGAAGTAGCGGAGAGCAATGTGCTTCGTTCTGTGCTCCAAGCGCTGCTCTCGACACAAGGCCAACATGGCCTTGTTGTCTACGTACAGCACTGGAGGAGAACGAGGCAGCTCTCCAAGGTCAGTCAGCAGGTAGGTGAGCCAGCGAAGCTCCTGTGCAGCCATGGCCCCGGCGTAGATCTCAGCCTCACAACTGGAGCCGAGAACCGAAGACGAGCGAGTAGACCGCCACGAGACAGAGCCGGAACCAAGGCTGAAGGTGTAACCCTGTGACGACCGCTGCGTAGCCTGGTCGTCAGCCCAAGAAGCGTCTGCGTGCCCAGTAAGGACCACTGGACTCCGCCCTCCAAGCACTAGCCCCATGCCCGACGTACTGCACAGGTAGCGCAATACCCTCTTCGCTGCAGCCATGTGCTCTGGTCGGTGTCTCCCAGGAGCAACATAGCGTGCAAGGATGCTCAGAGGGTATGCAAGGTCAGGTCGAGTGCAGGTCATCAGGTACATGAGGCAGCCAACAAGCTCTGCATACGGACCACTCGACTCTACGGACTCATCCGAAGGCAGAGCTGAGAGTGAGTGGCGAGTAGGCAGAGGAGTGGCCTGAGGCGAGGAGTACGTGAAGCCGAAGCGCTGAAGGACCTGCTGCACCATGTGTGACTGAGTCAGGGTAATGGTGCGGCGTGCTCTGTCCCGAGTGATCTGCAAGCCAAGGTAGCTGCGCAGTTCACCCAGGTCTGTGCACGTGTGTCTCTTCAGCAGCTCGGACTTCACGTAGGCGAGTCCAGCAGTGTCCGCTGTGGCAAAGACCAAGTCGTCGACGTACACGAGGATGTAGAACGGCGGCAGGGAAGTGTCGGTGCGAAGAAACAGCGACGGGTCAGCAGTAGAAGGAGCAAACCCAAGAGCCGCAAGCGTAGTCCTCAGTGTGTCGTGCCACTCACGCGGTGCCTGGCGGAGACCGTAGACTGGCCGTCGGAGGCTCCACTGGGTGCCAGGAGGGAAAGTCCCAGTGAAGCCAGGCGGACGGCGCAGCCAGATCTCCTCGTGCAGGCTACCCTGCAGGAACGCAGTGCTGAAGTCGAGAGAGTGAAGCTCGTAGTCGCGCTGAGCGGCAATGTGCAGCAGCACCCGAAGAGTGGTCATCTTCGGGGTGGGAGAGAAGGTCTGAAAGTAGTCAACTCCCTGCCGCTGACTGAAGCCACGAGCCACGTAACGCGCCTTGAAGACAGGCGGCGAGCCCGGCGGCCGCTTCACCCTGAAGATCCACATGCCACTGACGATGTTCGCCCCAGGAGGGGGAACCGCGTCAACGTAGGTGCCTGTGGACTTCCAGGAAGCCATCTCTGCATCCATAGCTGCCTGCCACTGAGAGGAGTAGGGACCCTCTACGGCCTCCGCGTAAGAACGCGGAGTCGGGATGTCTAGTGCATCCGGGTCTCCCTCAGGGGCTAGCAGTACAGACGCGAGACGAGGTGAAGCAGCGGCTAGACACTGGAACTCCTCCTGCCTGTCCTCTAGGACGTCCGTGCCAAGGGCACACTCACCCCCGACGGACGGAGGACAGGCGGACCCAGACTCAGCGACAAGACGAGCAGCGTAGTCTAGACGACAGCGCGCAGCAAAGTCGACAAGCTCAGTGACAAGGGCAGACGCAGCAGACGACTCGAAGGAAGGGTCAGTGACAGCAGTAGCAAGGAGACGCGTGACAGTAGGACTGGCAGCACGAAGAGAGTCCGACTCCGGGTCGGCAAGAGCAGGAAGAGAGGAAGCAGGAGGAGAAGGCAAAGGGGCACGCAGAGGAGCAGTGGACGGACGCAGTGACATCCGGTGCGTGCCAGGGACAGGAGGAGGACGCTGACGCGACCCGCGACCACTAGCGCGCTCAGTACGAACAGGCGACGCAGGACGAGACGCAGGCTCACGACGCTCAGTAAGACCTCCAGTCGGACCAGCGTAGGGAGAAGGAGCAGGCAAAGGGGAGGCAGGCTGTAGCTGTGGCTGTGACCGGACAGGCTGCGGACCCTCTAAGGAAGGAGGAGGAGGTGTAAGACCAAGAACCTGCTGCAGGAGCGGAACGAAGTACGGTCGAGGCCGCGCGGCGACGCCAGAAACAGCAGGAACAGCACCAGCACCCCCGGCAGGAGCACCCACTCCAGCAGCACCTCCAGCAGAACCACCAGAAGCTCCAGAACCTCCAGCAGCAGCACCAGGAGCACCGTCAGTCGGACCACCAACCGCAGGCTCAGCGCCAACGTCCTCAGCAAGACCAGCTCCAGGAGAACACTCAGACCCAGCAGCTCCAGCACCCACAGGACGAGCACCGCCAGGTCGCGTGGCAGCAGCGCCCTCCGCAGCCGAAGAACCACCAGCACCAGCGGCACGCCTCCAGCGCCGGGCAAACCACTCACGCAGCTCCTGTGGAGAGAGCGGCTCCCGGTGAGACGAAGCACCCCCAGGCACAGCACCTCCAGGCTCGGCACCTCCCGGCTCAGCACCCCCAGGCTCAGTACCCCCAGACACAGCACCCCCAGGCACAGTACCCCCAGGCTCAGCACCCCCAGGCTCAGCACCCCCAGACTCCGCACCCCCAGGCTCAGCACCCCTAGACTCCGCACCCCCAGGCTCAGCTCCCGCAGCAGCACCGGAGTCACCAGTGACCTCGACAGGCTCGACCGCGTCTACCTGAGACACACCTGAAGGGGCAGGACCCTGAGGGGGGAGGGGGACTACTGG